GAGACAAACCTAAACTCAGATATAGAACAGAATCAGGATAGAATCACTTTCAAACTCCCCAAATCTGTTTCTGAACCTAGTTTGAGAGTTGATACTAACTTACCAACCACAATGCACTCAGAGGTTCACCAATAAGAATAATAGTGATAATTATTATTATATTTAATAACCACTAAGTATATTCCCAAAGCTTTACATATATTGTATCTTTTCACCTCACAACAAACCTATAAGGTATGTACTATTATTTCTATTTTATAGATGAGAAAACTGAGGCACAAAAAGGTGAAGTAGCTTACTCAATATTAAGTGGAAGAATCAGGTTGGAACTCAGGTAGTCTGCCCCAGAGCCCACGCCCTCACCACTACATTACACTGTATTCCACCTCCACACTGGAAAGCTGTTAGATCTGCATTATCTAATACATAGTCAGTAGCCACATGTGACTATTTCATTTGAATTAGTTAAAATTAAATATCATACCACTTTGGAAAACAGTCTGGCAGTTCCTCGAAAGGTTACACAGAGTTATCATATGACCCAGAAATTCCACTATCAGGTATATACATACCCAAGAGAAATGAAAACATGTATGTCTATACAAAAATTGTACATGCGTGTGCATAGCAGCATTATTCATAATAGCCCAAATGTCCAACTGATGAATGGATAAATAAAATGTGGTACATTCATACAAATGAATATTAATAAGCCATAAAAAGAAGTGAAAAACGGATACATGCAATGATATACTGATACATCAACGTGGAGGAATCTTGAAAATAGTATGCTAAGTGAAAGAAAGCCAGTCACAAAGGACCACATGGTGCATGATTCCATTTATAGGGAATGTCCAGAATGGGCAAATCCACAGAGATAGAAAGTAGATTAGCAGTTGCCAGGGGCTAGGGAAGGAGGGGGTATAATGGGCAAGGACTGCTAATGGCCATGGGGTTTCTTTTTGGGGTGGTGAAAACATTCTACAATTAGATAGTGGTGATGGTCACACAACCCTGTGACTTACTGAAAAAACATTTTCTGCACACTTTAAAAGGATGAGTCTTTTGGCATGTAAATTCTGTCTCAGTAAAGTTGATATAAAACATTAAATGTCATTAAGAATTGAGTTCCTCAGTTATCCTGGCCACACTTCAATAACCACATGGGGGCTAAGTGGCTATAAAACAGGCAGCACAGATATAGACTATGTCCAGCATCACAGGAAGTTCTACTGGACAGCACTGCTTCCACAGAAGGATAAAAGGCCTCCTTACCATCTAACTGCAGCCCCCGTTTTGAGTCCCAGCCTCCCTTCCCAGTCCTCTACTACACACCCACACTCAAAACCTTCACCACAGACTACATGCTACTTCCAAACACTCCATTTCACTCTTACACACTGGAGTAAACTTTCCCCCTTCCTCGGCCATAGACATCCAACTTATCAAACTTGAAAGCCTCCCCCTGTATGATGCTTTCCCCAAATCCCCACCTCCCCCTGACTGTTCCCACTACCTTCTGTCTGCACTTCCATTACAGCGCTGATCCCTGCAGACTACAGGTCACTCTATGTGTTATCTGTCTTTCCCATAAGATTAGTAGCTCCCTGAGGATGGGGATCCTGCTACTCATTTGAGGGTTCCCAGTGCCTGGGAATAAGAGCGTGCTGCAAAGAGTGAACATTTCAGTAAATGTTTGCTGGATTCTCCTGAAAGGATTCACAGCAACTCATGATGTGGATTTCAGACAACTGCTCACTTTGGTATATAAAGCAGAAGAAAATGACAGAATGAGGATAAGGATCTGGAAGTCTCACATCCCACTACTCTACAAGAAGGAATGAGGGTGGTCGCACTGAAATGCCCTATTTAAGAAAGAAGAGTAAAGCTTTCGGACTGAAAACTGGGGCAGTGGAGGTGAGTAAAGGGGGAGGGAGGGGCATACTACTGGAGGGTGTGGTGGGAAGAAAAAATATCAGGAACTCAGGCCCCCAACCAACTCAAAGTTGTAAGCATGGCAGAGGAAAGGTAAGGACTGCATCTCTACAGATTTGCGCCCAGCCCATTGGCCAGATCGCTTTATGGAAAAAGATGTTAAACCCACACATCTCCATCGTAATTCAGCTGGAAGAGACAAATGCCAAGGCCTTACTGATTGGAGACTCTACTGCTTTTTTATTCTTTATGGATTTGAGGAATCACATCTGAGTTACAATGACAGGAAAATATAGTCGAAGCTCCTAATCACAGAAGGGAGTTAAGGGGATGAATTTGTCTGGGCCAGGATGGCAGGAAATGACTGTTCCAGTGCAGAGCTGGTACCAGGGCAAGCAAGCCGCCTAATGCCATATATTTGATATTAAATGCATGTGTGAAAAAAAGATCGTATTTGACAGAGCCGTTTAAAGGGGGAAAAATGCAATGAGGTACCCATACCATTTTCAATTCGGAATGAGAACAGAGAGTTCTCCTCGATGCAGAGCTGGCTGGAAGCCACTTGTTGAAATAAGGACAGTGAGTACCTGAAAGACATCCTATGCCAAAACAGTCTCTGAATTTTCTTTTCACTGATTTCTACAAGCCAAAATCAACAAAAACCAAACCAAAACAAAAACTAAATTGACAAAATTGTGGTGGATTCAGAGTTAATAATTATATAGGAACTTCCATTCCAAAGGTTAAAATTCAAAACACAATTCTCACGATAGATCATTGAGAACTCAATGAGAAAAGGGCTGGGAGATGAGGGTAGGAGTGTCTGGGGGAGGGGGTCAGGATGAGAGAGACTACTAATCCCAAAAACTTTCCCTTCTCGGCAGGAACTGTAACCACATAATAGCTGCTGGTCGGTGCTAGCATCCATCCAAATGGAACAAAGTACAAAAGCCACCCTGTCCCCAAAATAAGTATTGTAAGTGCCAAAGAAATGATAAGAAAATGGCTTGTGATCCACAAATTGCAATTAGGGCATTAGACTAAAGATCCCCTCCCACACCTTCTCTCTACTTCTCAGGCTCCCGTGAGCTAGGAAGGAACCTCCACTTACCATCTTGCCTCCTGTTAAAGAAATGGTTCTGGTTCCCATGGTTGACTTGGAGGCCAATCACTGCTCTCCCTTGGGGTGATACAGGCCACAGGCCCAGGGTACCTGCCTCCAAAGGCTGCCCCGGACCTAAATCAACCTTCTAGCAATGTTAATTATTGGTTATTGGGAACAGCCTTTAAAGATACTTACAGAAAGAGGCAGGTGTAAAGGAAAAACTATAGTTTGTTCTATATTTTGTTCTCTAAACAACTATACTTCTTAGCTATACCAGCCCTAAGGGCTATAACTTTTCTAACAAAATTTATTTCTCCTGTCAGTTCATGATTTTAACTGTGAAAACAAAGAACCCCAACAAAGCCTATAACAAGAGTCCCAGCCCTAGAAAAAGGAACATACTGGGTCAGAAAATGAGCTCTTACTCCTTTCACATATGATTTCTAATTTACATATGTATATTCTTTGGGAAAAGCAGAGGATAGTTCCACAGAGAAATGAACAGACCAAGTACGGTATAACCACACAATGGAGTACTATTCAGCCATAAAAAGGAATGAAGTACAGGTACACACTACACCGTGGATAAACCTTGAAAACATTATGCTAAGGGAAAGAAGCCAGACACAAGAGGTCATATACTATAGGATTCCATTTATATGAAATATCCTGAAGAGATGAATCCATAGAGACAGAAAACAGACTGATGGTTGCTAGGGGCTAGGGGAAGGAGAACAGGTAGGAAATGCTTAATGGTACAGGGGGGTTTTCTTTTGGGGTGATGAAAATGTTTTGGAACTAAACAGAGGTGGTGGTTGCACAAAACTGTGAGGGTACTAAACGCCAATGAATTGTTCACTTTAAAATGGTTAATTAAGTGATTTTAAATGGTTTATGTTACATGAATTCCATCTCATTAAAAAAATTAATGTTTTAAATGGAGGATACTAATGGGCAAAACATAGTGCATATGTGAAAAGGTGGCCCACAACTCCAAGGGAAAAGAGATTTTTATTGGCATTCTGCTTCTACTCTTGATCACAACACAAAGTTCAAGTGCTAAGCTGTATAGACTGTGTCATTTTGTTCTCTGTGTGTGTATGTGTGCCTATGCCTTTCTGAAAAGACAGGGCACAGAAAGTGAAGAAAACAGAAAGGTAAAGCCTTGCCAAATTCAAGGGAAGGAGGGGTGATTCCCCCTACTGCACCCCACCCAACTTGGCACCAGGAGTAACGCTCCCATTAGGGTTTCGAAATGCCAGCCGGAGCTGAAATCAGCACAAGCAAGCTTGTCTGCCCGTATAAGAAGCAAGCCACCTAGCAAGAAAAGCTGGGGTGCTCCATTTGTTGCCCGTATTGGCATCAGCACCACCCTTTGCTCAAAACCCGGAGCTGGCTCAGATCAGCATCGGTGACGGCTCCCCTAGACCAGCCAGCCTAATAAGAGTGTGCTCTGCTGCTGAGGGGTCCCAGTCTACTTCATCCCACCTGCCTTCCAAGAGTCCTGCCTCCAACACCATTAAGAATGGGGCCAAGATGCCCTCAGAACTTTCCAATGCCCGGCTTGAATTAAATATCCTCTCAGCCCCTCCTTCCTCTCAGGCCCGCTCAATAACCCACGTACCCCTACGCGCACACCAGGGGACACGAATGCGCCCCCATTGGCCCCCGCTTGTCACCACTATCCATTCACAGTCATTCCAGCCCACCTGACCTAACTCCCGTCTCAAAGGCCCCTCACTCGCTTGGCACCACGCCTCTGCTACCTCCCTGGCACCAAAACCGTCACAGGTGTCCCTCAGCCAAACACCGACGCCCCCTTAGATCTTGTCCACTCAAGGCATGGGTGCCCCTCTCGGGACCCCTCAACTCATGGCAACAACATTCCTTCAGCCCCTTCCAGCCGGGCCTCGACGACCCCCAGGCCCCCAGCCTGGCCCGAACGCCCCCTCCCCCTTACCTGCGGGGGTTCAGCCCTGGCTGACACGGGGCTGGGCAGCGCCTGGAGGAGCAGGAGCGCCATGCCACCCAGGAGCCTTCTCCCCTCCATCCCCCTCCTGCTCCTGCTCCTCCGCCACGGCGCCGCCACCTCCCTCCTCCTCCTCCCTCTCCTCCTCTTCCCTCTTCTTCCTTCTTCCCTTCTTTTCCTGTTTCACTCTCCCCTCCCGCTTCCGGCTCTGCTCCACCCCGCCCCAGCCCAAACGCCCTCCCAGACACTGGGCTGGTTCTCCAGTTCCAGCGCTTCATTGGCCCTTGCCCTTCTTCCATTGGTCAAAATAGCTGTCGATCAAAGCGAAGTCCCGCCCTGTCATTGGGACGGAAAATCGGAGGAATCCAGCCAATGGAAAGTAGGAGGAAGCCGGGCCATCTTGAGTGCTGCGAGACGGCGTAAATGCGTCCCGCTCCGTAGAGTGGCGGAACTAGCTCCGATCGGGGGGCGGGGCCACCCAAAACGTGTGTTGAAAAGGCTGGTTCTGGTGTCGCCATCTTGAGTGTGGCGGAAGTACTAGATTTCCATGGTATAGCAAAGAAGAGGGGTACGGTAATTCTAAAGGGTAAAATAAATTACTTTTAGAAGGTATCCGGGGGCTTTTAACGAAGACAACTGCAATCTAAAAATCTTTTGATGTCTTTTGTCTTTAAGCACAGCCACAGTACCAGGGTCCCTGTCATAATCTCAAACTGCTCAAGCAGTAGCTTAGATCAACTGAATTCCCTGAGATAGTATCTTTACCTGAGATAGTATTTTGTCACCCCAAATTTGAGAGACAAAATTCTATTGACTACCTCAGAAATAGCCCTGAAATCCACCCCTATTACTTCAATCCATGTTCTCATCTTCTGACTAAATACAAATGGTCTCCCTGCTGATTTGCCAGTTGCCAATTCTTCCTTCCTACACAGCAGGGGTGCTCTACCACCTAAAAACCAAATACTACCGCCTCAGGGCTTCCCCTGTCAAAATACTTCAACTTCCTGCAGGATTTACAATCCAAACTTCTCAATATGGTCCTTTCTGGTCCCTGCATACTTCTTTATCTCACCTACTGCCACTACATTTCCCACACATTCTGCTCACACCAAACACATGAGATCCTCCAATGTACTGTCCTATAGTGCACTTAACTTCATTTGCACATTACACATACAGTTCCCTGTTTACAAACTCCTAGTTCCCAGCCCCTTGTTTCTTATTCTGAATTCACATAACACCACACAGCGTATCTAATCTGTAATTTCTGCCTGCCAGACCCCTCCCATTCAATTTGTTGCTTTTTCTATGGCACATCAGGTCGTATTTTTTAAGAGAAATCCTCTAACACCCTGTACAGGGCCCAACCATGAGCTCAATCAATGTTGGTGAAATAAATGCACAAATGAAGACACATGGCAGTGAAGCCAGCTGTCTAGCTGCCAATTTTCTCTCAAAAACCTGCCAAAGCATTTTACAGCCTGGCCCAGTCTGGCCCATAGCTGAGCCCAGAAGGAGTTTTTTTCTTGGCTCAAGTGAGTGGGAAACAGGTAAGAGTGAAGAAATTGGTTCTGCCTCTATCTTGATCCTGCTTTCCCAAGTGCTAAAGAAGGGATTTTTGCCAATCTTAAATTTCTTAGAAATTCATCCATTCTACCATCAGACGTCCTAGGGGAAAAGAAGATTGAGTACTAGGCAGGGGCCACCTTGTTTTCATTACAGTGTCCCAATCCTAGCCTCAACATATAAAGGCCAGGTACCATCATTAGGAAACCCGCAAAGGTTTCATCTCGGCAAACACAGGGGATTTTGCCACAACTTCCCTTCCTCCCTTTACCTGAGAGCTCAAACTGAGCTACTGGACAGGGCAAATACTAAACCCTGTCCAGTCTGGATTAGCACTTCTTGCACCAAGGCATTTTAGTCACCTACCCACTTCTTTCCACATCCCACAGGAGTCAATTCAAAGAAAGCAGAGAAGCCTTACAAAATAGAGCTGAGATGAAGTTTGGGTGAACTCTCTAATATGCCTCTGAACTGCAGCCACTACATACTCCAGACTTTTCCAAAAGAGTGATTGTCTATGAAGAGAGGAGGAATGCCAGGAGGCCTAAGGAGCTGAGAAAGAAAGAAGAGGATTGTGCGTTCTTGAAAGAACATCAATGCAGAATTGCTTCCGAGCTCTGGCTAGCTCTGGTAATGTTTTTCCTATTTGCCTTTGGAAATGGGCAAAGCTGAAGCCAGATCTCCAGTCCTAAGAAAACTAGCTCAAAGACACACTTTTCTGCTCAGATATCAGCTAAAATTAAATTGCACATGTTACAGCACGGATAAACTTTGAAAATATTATGCTAAGTGAAAATAGCCAGACACAGAGGGCCACATACTGCGATTCCATTTATATGAAGTGTCCAGTATAGGCAAATCCATAGAAATAAGACAATAGATTAGGGGTTGCTAGGGGCTGGAGGATGAAGGTAATAGGGAGTGGTGAGTACAGAGTTTCTTTGGGGGGTAATGAAAATATCCTGGAATTAGACAGTAGTGATAGTTGCACAACATTGTGAGTATGCTAAAAAAAACCACTGAATTATGCACTTTAAAAAGATGAATTTTATGTTATATGAATTATATTCTAATGTTTTTAATGGATAAAAAAGCAAATTACGGGCAGTACCTTGACCTCAGGGAGGAGGCCCTTTCTCTTTAGAGTGTCTCCCAGGAGTAGTGGTCCTTAAGTTGTGGTCCCCAGACCAAAAAAATCAGCATCACTGGGAAGTTACCAGAAATGCAAATTCACAGGCTCCAATCCAGACCCACATCATTAAAAATTCTAGGGATGGGGCCCTATAGTCTGCGTTTTGAGAAGTACTCCAGGTGAACTCGATGCATGTTAAGAACCATTGCTCCAGAGTATGGGAAACTTTTTGTGTAAAGGGTCAGATAGTACATATTTTAGGTTCTGCATGCCACATATATAGGGGCTCCATCATGTATTCTGTTCCTTTCTTTACAACCTTTAAAAAATGTAAAAACCCTTCTTAGTTTCCCAAGCACACGAAAACAAGTAGCAGGCAGATTTGGACCCTCGAGCCATGGTTTGCCAACTCCCGCCCCAGAGCAACACAGCTCTGGTGGTGGGAGAACTCTGGAGCCTCAAGCTAAGACAGGTGGATTTTCCTCTGCAGTAAGGAAGACAAACAAGGGCCTCCGGGCACCACACAGTTTCCCTTTAGAGCTGCGATATCCTCCCCCACTCCATGGCCAAAGTAAGACCAGAGCCTGCTTTCCATCCAGGCTTTATTAACTCAGTGTGCAGACAGTTCGTTGTGCTCTTCCAAGAAATGTGTTCGATTCACAGTAATATCCTTTGATCAGTCAGTAAATTCTACTAGACAAAACTCATACGGACATTGGCCCCACGTCAGCCACAACAACCCCCTCCCCCAGGAGCCTGAGAAAGCTGCCAGGCTGGGAAGGGCGAGCGGCTGCGCTTTGCTGTGTGTCCTTTAAGGCTCTTTGGTCCTGGTTGATTTCCTCTCAGAGGTGTCCAAATAAAACTTCCCTTTCCTATTCAGTACACACCAGTCTTTCTTTGGTGTTTAAGCCAATGGGCTGAGGAAGGGAGGTAGCCAGGAAATTATACCCACTAAAATGTGCAGTTAATGCCTACAGACATCCTTTTTACTCACAGTGGATTTATCTCTCAGACACACAGAAGTAGAAGCAGGTATGATTTCAGGGCTGGAGAACAAAGCCAGTGTTGACAGACAGGGCTTGAAGCACCACGAGACTGCTGCCTCACCCAGGGTCCTTTGTTTTCCACACTAAGAACTCCTGGGTGCCTGATAAACTCAAGTTTAGCAAGACTCCCAAAGAAGCTTTGTGACCAGGGGCCCTGGGGAGGAGAGCGGGGAAGAGCTCTGAGGAGCCTCGAGGTGACCCGGCTTCTTCCCTCCCCCTTCCCCAGAGAGCCAGAGCTGCTGGGTGAAGGTTCCCAGCAGATGAGGAGGAAGGCAGGCTCTTCCTCAGAACCGGCCAGAACCAGAATCCCAAAGGGTTCCTACTTTTTCCAAATGGTGTCCTTGAGTGTCTCCCACAGGTCCCAGCAACTTCTCCCTGCGGGGGTCTCAGCTCCTGGTCTGCAGGGGCGGGGCTCAGGGAGGGCAGACAGAAGACGTGGCCTTTCTCCCTTTGTTCACTTTTATCCCCTGGAGTCCCATAAATCTAGGTGCCTGGGTGGAAGCATGAGGCATCCTCCCACCCCACCCTCACTCCCCGAATCCACCCTGGCCTTTAGGCCCTGTCGGCCAAGAGGAATGAGGGCACAGGTACCCACGGTGGCTAAGGAGGCACTGGTAAGTATGGGTACGGGCTGGTCCTCGCTGGGCGGGCATTTAGAGGCCCTTATTGAAGTAGACATAAGGCACAGGCTCTCCATACTTGGACTTGGCCCTGATGCTGTCTTGGAGCTCTGGTTCCAGATAGGAGACTGGCAGTTCGCTGAGAAGAGAAAAGGGGGTTATGAGCATGCCACCCAGACGAACAGCAAATTACTCTCAGACGAAGTCCAACTCAGATGCCACCTTTAAGAAGCCCTTCCTGATTTTTCCATCAGAATTACTTCTGGCCTCTGTATACCACACTATGCTGCTTTTACATCTCTTGAGCCCTGACTTCATTCTCCCTGGTGCTAAACTTCCATCTCCTCCACAAGATTACAAGCACAGTGCTCAGCACACAGGAGATGTGTAGCAGATGACACTGAGCTGAGAGTACTAAGACAGGGGAAACAGGCATCTTCTCCATATATATTCATGCGACAGCTGGTCTCCTGAGCTAGTCCTCCCCCAACCCCCACCCCCTGCCCCGGTCTGATGTTTCCCTTCCCGCCTCCCGCCCACCATCATCTCTCTTCATCCCCTGCCCGCCCCTCCCAGGACATGCAAGGGGAGAGGCCCAAGCCAAGCCCCCTCTGGCAAACATTGTCCAGAGTTAAGTACCTACCCTTTTGTTCAATTTCAAAGACCAGATCCAGCCAGGGGGGATGTAGCTAGTAAGTTAACCAGCAGGGACAGAAAGTCTCTTACTGTTCCCCAACCTTCTCTCCAAGGCAGCCTTTGCTCCACTGGGAATGAGTAACTCATCCCTCTGCCCCTTGGAATATCTGTTTTGGTTTACCATTCACCTGGGGTTAAGAGGCCCAGAGTTTAGGCTGATAGGCACTTGTCCTTGGACAAACGCTGCCCTGCCTGCCCTTCCCTCTCTCCTTCAGGACAGCAGGCAGGTCAGGGAGAGCAGGGACGGGGTGTTCAGGGAAACAAAGTGAGGAATGAACAGCTGATACCATTTCTGCGGGAAGAGCCCACATGCCACTGGCACCATGAAGATGAGGCTGGGAGAAAGAAGAAACCAAAGCGTTAGAGGGCATCTGGCATCTCACAGACCCACCCACACGCCATCTCTGAGCCTCCCAAAGGAAGAGGGAGATGCCCGTTCACTGGGCCCATAGCTCCTCTCCCTCCAGCCCTTCTGGTCTCTCAGTGCCTGGAGACTCACCCTAGCACGGGATAAAATCAGTCCCTCTCCACCCACTACCGCTCACCCCCCACCCACCATTGTTCAAGCAGATGAAGAAGACAGTAGAGTCACAAGGGAGCACGAACAGCAGCCCTGAAGGTCACAAGCATCCGCTGACGGAAAGTAGTGAGGGGTGTGGAGGCAGGGTCCTGCTCCTACACTCGCTGAACACCTGGGCTTTTGGAGAACAGTGAGGGCAGAGCTTCTCAACCTTCACTGGGCATGTGAGTAACTAGAGGAGCTTGCTCAAATGCCACGCTCATTCCGTAGGTCTGGGAAGGGGTGTGAGAGTCTTTATTTCTAACAAGCTCTCAGAGGATGCAGGTCCAGGACCACGTCTGCAGCACTTGGGGTCTAACAGCCCTGGGTCTGTATCCCAGCTCTGTCACTCCCTAGCTGTGCCATCTGGGGCAAGTTCCCTCTGAGCCGGCAGAGGGAAAGCGAGAGCGCCTAGCATGAGGATTCAGTGAGCTAACACGTGTGAGGCATCCAGCCCACGGTAACTGCTCCTTCAGAGGGACCTCAGTTAGCAGAAGACAGTCTAGCATAACGTTACAGATCTGCTCTCAGCTCTGGCGATTAGCAGCTATAGTTGCTTGGGCAAGTTTCTTCATTTGTAAAAGGAGATGATGACAATACATATACTGTCGAGGTATATCTACCCTGAGGGCTGAGGGAATGAGGTGAAATTATAGGCGTGAAACATTAGCACAGTGGGGACACACGGAAAACACCCCACACATGTTAGTTTGGGTTGCTGTCATTCGCCTTGCGGTCCTGCAAAGCATGAGGAACCCTGGGACGTGTGGACACGTCCAGTCAAGAGCAGGCTCCTAAGGACCCTGCCCTGACTCCTGGTGTTTCCTCCTGTGTGGGGCTGGGACACCTCATGGGCCCGGGCTGTGTCATTTTTGATACTGAGATATAACTGACACGTAACCCTGTGTAAGTTTACTACCGGCCTTAGGAACACCTCTATCGCATCATGTGATTATCATTTCTTTTTTGGGTGAGATGATCTCATTGTTTTTGTCTCTTCTCTAAAACTGCTGCAGGCCTAAGGTCAGAGGGGAGACCCCAGGACAGCAGGGCACCCACAGGCTCCACTTTCCACACAGGGGTGTTCATGGAGCCAGCCTGGTGTCCTCAGAAAGATGGGGTGAGAGTGCTCCTGAGGGGCCACAGGCATCCTCAGCCTGGGCGCTACGTGGGTGACAGTGACACAAGACAGATCTTGGGCACCCCAACCACTGTAGAACCCAAACCAAGAAAACGCATTACTCACAAGCACCCAGACAGCATGATCTGCAACGGAGCGTGCAGGACCCGGACTCTCTGCAAGGGAACAGACCAAAGAGAGACCCATGTGGGACTTACATCCATTCAAGTGAACCCCACGCCGGTCAGCCAGCTAGAAACCCGCAGGAGTGAAACCCTGGCTCTGACAGGGAGGACTGGGGTTCTTCTTGGTCTCTGCAGACAAGGTCAAGAAACCAAGAAATGGGCCACCTGCAGGGACTGGTACGGGCCCTACTTGAGTGAGGTGCAGGGTGGGAGCAAGAGGGAAGGATAAGAGGGTCAGAAGCCCCCCGCAGAGGTGTGGTCGGGGCACTCTGGGCAGGGAAGATGCAAATGAGAATCCACTCACCCTCATGAAATGCAGTTTCTCCAGCCTTTCCATGACGACCGGCAGCAAGACTGGAAGAGACCAGGGGAAAGGCTGGGGCTGGGCTGTAAGACCCCCCCCCCAAGACCCCTTTCTGAAGTCAGATCACAGACTGAGTGTGAAGTTCCAGAAAATACTTTTTATGTGGGAAAAGAATGAATGACTGTGTAGGCACGGTCACACCCGATGCCTCCCCAAAGGCCCAGTAGAAAGATGCTCCCCACATCTCTTAACCTGCACACACAGAAGGACACGTACCACAGGCCCAGGGCGTCCTTCCCCAAACTCAAAACTACCTTTGAAGGCTCACGGAAGCAAGTTTTGTATCCTACTCTGTATCCTGTCCCTGCTGGAGGCAAAAACCAGGGCAGGGGACTTCTTTCCCCTATCACTGTCTCCCCGGCACCCACACGGTGTCCAGCACATTGACAAACTTAAAGAATGTCTGTTAAATGAAAATAAAATAACTCTCCACGAAATCTCTGATTAACTGATGTGACAGGAATTAGAGCATGGCTCTGCTGTGGCTTTCAGCACTCATGCAAACCAGTGTAAGAAGCAGGGCTGTGGAGGCTGGGGTCCCACCCCACCCCCAAAGTGTGGCTGAGGTCTCCATCACGCATTCCAGAGTACCCCAGGATGGGAGGGCTTCCCCGTCTTACTCATGCCAGGGGCTGCCATGGTGATCCGAGAAATAACCACCTGGGTGATGCCTATGGCCGCAGCTCTCTGAGGGCAGAAAAGAGTTAGTTGTCAGGAATGACCTTATCCAGTATCCACAGGCTGCACCGAGGGCTGGGTCAGGTTCAGGGCCAAGTCTCAGCTGGTAAAGGGGAAGGGATGGACTTGTCAGGGGCTGAGTGACCTCACCTGACCCTCTCCCACCCAGCCAAACTTTTATGGCTTCAGGACCAGAAATGCTGGAGAAAAGACATGAACAGAGACATGCAGGGGAAATCGATGGGGAAGGGGGATGGAGTCAGGGAGAAGGTTCTCAGTCCTACAGTGGGGCCGGGGCCTGCTCTGACCACTAAGAACCAGAGATGGTACGAGGGGGAACTCCATCCTCCCACCCCAAAGGCAGGCCTCTGCTCACCCGGGAATGACCAAGCTCATTGTGGTTCCTGTCCTTCACGCAGATGCCCTGGATGAGTTCCCTAAACACAGACAGGAGGTGCTAGACTTGGGAAATGGGTGCTGGAAGCCTGCCACCAATGTGACACACTGGGGGACCAGGGTCAGGGCACTCAAGCTCTCAGAAGCCACCTCCTGCAGCCTGGCCCCAGTGCCTCCCTCCACACTTCGGAGGCTGGGATTTCAGACGGGATCCAGGGCAGCGGCTCAGAGAGGGCAGCTGTGCCCTGACTGCCTAGGCTGAATCTGGACACTGCAGTGTCAGTGTAGGATCTTGAACACGTTTCCTAATCCTTCTAAACACAGAGTTATCCTCATTTACAAAATGGGGATAACCATGGCACCCACTTCACAGAACTCGGTGGGGATTAAACAGCACAAGGCGGCAAAGTGCCGAGTCCAGTGCCCGGCAGTGCCCGCTCCACCGGCAGGAGCTGCTCCAGCTGTTATTCTTAGGCCGGTGCTGACAGCGCTCTGTCCAGGAGTATGCAGGTGTCTGGGGCGCATTCACTCGCTGGAAAGAACTGGATGGGGGAGCGAAAGAGGCGGGAGCAGTGTACACACACGACTATTCTGTAGTGTGCACTTTCTGCAGGGGTGACTGTGAGAACTTTCCACTTGCTACCAGCCCCAAGAAAACGCACCTTATAGATATTGGTGTTGACGACGAAGGCAGGGTGACAACAGTGGCAACGATACAGCTCATGCTGATGCAGCAGTTCTTACATTCCAGGCACTATTCTGAGTGCTTTACGTTTATCACCTCATTAAGTTTTATAACAGGGGGACATCTACACCTTCTCTAGTCAAGAAACAAGAACTGCGAGACAAAGCGGGTTTCTCCTTTTACCTTTCCTGCTGTGCTGCTTAGAGCCCAGTGCCTGGTAAACATCTATCTGCCCCTCTGGCTTCTTTCCAAGCTTCTTGGCTCTGTTCTATCTTTGGACACCTTGCTCTGCTACATTTCATTCTGTAAGCCACCCCCAGGGCTTTGGAAGTAGGCAGAGTTCACAACTTAAATACAGCTGCAGTTGAAAGGCTTAGACAGGATCTAGTATAAAACCTCACAGGTCCATCCTAGCTGCCCCCATCCCACGCTGTCCAAAAAATGACTCCCACAACACTCATCACAGATGAGAACTAAGTCACCCGCCACATCGCTGTTGGAGTAGCCAGTCCTCAGGGAACCTTCAGAGGGGCAGCTCACCCCACATCCACCTCAGCCCCAAGAAGCCACACACTGCCTGGGTTTCCTGGCTTTCCCTGCTAACCTCGCAGTTTGTAGGGAAGAGGGATCCCTGTACTCACTGCTGTCGCATCATGGGGATGTTGACACAGTTGGCAGCAGCCACAGCAGCAAAGGGCACCCAGCGGCCCACCAGCGGTGGGGCTCTCTGTTGGAGGAAGAGAACAATGGGAGTGGAAGATGGGAATAGAGAGAGCTTAAGGACAATAAAACAAGAAATCAGACCTCCCTACTGCCACGCATCCAGAAACCCAGTCTGAGAACCCAAACTTCCTCAAAGGCTCAAGAAAGACTAGCCTGGGGACAGCCCTGCTGAACTTCCCACCACCTGGCTGGGCGCCAGCCATAACGCACCCAAATGGGAAACAGCCCCTGCCTGGGGGAAAAGATTTTCCCTAAGACTTTGCTGCCCCCTAGTGGCCACCATGCCTCTAGCCGCCCCAGACCTACCTTAGTCAATGTGTTCATGCCCACAGCAGTGGCCACCGCGGTGGTTGTGGCTGTGATATAGGAAACGGCCATCTGCCTAGTGGAGGAAGGAGGTGTTTGGGAGTGGGAAGCCCTGCTGGCTGAGGGCACGGCCATAGTCAGTGATAACATCTGGAAACATGGCTTCATGCCTGAGAAGCTCATGTGGTCTGTTCCCAGCCTCATCTTGTGATCCCCCCACCCCCAACTCACTCAGATGCTCCAGCCCCCTTGGCCCCTTTTCAGTACTCCATAAACAGGCCAAGCACTTTCCTGCTTAGAACGTTTGCATGCTGCCACTCCCTATCCAGGGAATTCTTCCCTGGGCTCTTGCATGGTTAAATACTTACCCTTCAAAACTCTTGAAATGTCAGATCTACAGAAAAGACTTTCCAGACCAGCCTGTCTGCACGGATGCCCCTCTGCAGTTCTCTATTTTGTCACCTGTTTATTTCCTTAATGGCAGCAGTCACCATCTGAGACGATTATGCTTGTTTTCTTTATTTTATATTACTTGGCGGGGGGAGGTAATTAGGTTATTTATTTGAATGGAGGAGGTACTGGGGATTGAACCCAGGACCTCATGCGTGCTGAGCATGGACTCTATCACTGAGCTATATCCTCCCCCATGATTATGCTTGTTTTCTTTATTTTATATTATTGGGGGGGGTGGTAATTAGGTTATTTATTTATTTATTTTTTGAATGGAGGAGGTACTGGGGATTGAACCCAGGACCTCATGCGTGCTGAGCATGGACTCTATCACTGAGCTATACCCTCCCCCATGACTATGCTTGTTTTCTTAAAGGACCTTAAAACTCCAGGAACCACACGTCTTACTCAAATGTATTCCCAGCACCTAGAACCATGCCCAGCACCTAGTACACACTCAAGAAGTATTTGTAGAATGAACGAATGAAGGAACAAGTCTTCAACTGGTCTAGAAAAAAGATACCCTTCTAGTCAGCCTAATACTTCCAAACCCTGAAAAGGGAAACTTGGCCACCCACCCAGGGCAAACCACAGCCACAGAGCACGGACAGGCGGGAACCCTTTAGAAGGGCAGTTTTCCTGGAGGCAAGAGGACAGCCACCCGCTCCAGGCCCACGCAGATAGCCTGGGCTCCAGGTCTCCTACCTGAGTGACGTGGGAGAAGCTGCATTCCTGTTGGTGTAGTTGACTAAGGCATTGAATGACTGGTTCACCCACTGCCAGAAGATCACCGCTGGCATCGTCCTGCCGGGAAGGGAGGCCCGGAGAGGCAGAGAGGAGGACGGAAGGGAGGGCTTGAGGTACGGCAGTCAAACCACATTACCTGCCACTCCCCACGCTTTTCCCATGCTCCCTCACGCACCTGGGCTTTTGCACAGGCTGCCCCTCTGCCTGGAACATCCACACCCCTCTCCCTTTCCGTATATGGCTGGATCCTGCTCTGCTGAGAGAGCTCTTCTTCCTTGGAACCTTCCTGACCCTTCCCCTGCCCTTCCTGAGACACAGTTAGTCATCCATGCTCTCTGTTCCCACAATCCATATTCTCCCCTCAACCTACCACTTTGCAAACTGAACTGTAACTGTTTGTTTCTTGGTCTCCTCAACAAAACTGGGAGCTCCTTGAGGGGAGTTACTGAAGTCTTTATATTCCCACACCTGTCCCAGGCCTGGCTCAACGACTGGGTAAACGAATGCATGGAGGTGTGAGGAGGGGTCACACATCCAGCAGCTACAAAGAAAGTTTTCTTTCCGCAACTGGGCTGAAAGGGTCTTCCTATTTTTTCACTTGATATTACACTATAAAGACACATTAAACCCACTGTTGGATAAATACCTTTTAAAGAGGGAATGAGGATCACTCATTCGTGGAGGGTTCTAGAGAGGACTGGCTCAGTTCACACAGCCGGGCACCGGCATTTCCTGGCTGTGTGAACCTGCACAAGTTCCAGAACCTCTCTAGAACCTCAGTTCTTCATCTGTAAAATGGAGATGAAAATAGTACCTCTCTGCTGGGTTGCTGAGATTAAGTGAGGTGAGGCATGCCAAGAATTTCACACCGTGCCTGGCATCTGGCAAGGGCTCGATAAAGATGGCTCTCACTTTATCTTGGGAGGGAGGGCTCCCTGCCTAGCAGACAGATCCAGGCAGCTGCGCCTGGCACTGCCTGGCCCCCGGGGCGCACCTGTAGAACTGGAGCATGAAGCCCGTGATGATCATGCCACCGGGGACCTGGAAGGACATCCGCCCAATGACATTCATCTTCTCCCCGGTGTCAGGGTGGAAGGCAGAGTCGTACAGCTTCTTGGCATAGAGCAGCTGCTCCACTTGGGTGCCCGGGGGCACAGCCCCCAACCTGCCACCCAAGGACAACAGGTAGAGTTACTTCCCATCCCCCTATCCCGAGTCACCCTGCTCCTACCTCCCCGTCCTCCCTGAGCTCTCTGCCTATCCCCTCATCTCCAGTTCCCACCTCCCCCCAGAGCACCCACCGACATCGCCCCAGTGCCTCCAGCCCGTTCCACTAACCGCTCACCTGCTCTTCTCCACCATCACCTTGGCCCAGTCCAGCTCCTGCTCTGGTACCAGGACAGTGCGGGGATCCGTGATATTGAAGAAGTGCTTCACTCGCCCCAGGAAAGTGCTCTGGTCCCAAAGCGGGGCATCAATGTTAAAGCCAGACAGGTCAGCCTCCATCCTGCTCACACATGGAACTGCGGACTTAAGGAACAAACAAAAACTGAGGATTCAAGAATCAAATCAAAGCCTGCCCCCAAGACCCTGAGCCCCTCCCGCTGTTGCAGACTGGCTGCTGTCACCTGTCACCTGCCACCAGCATCATTTGACTCAGCTCGAGAAGGGCCCAGTGAATGGTCACCAGTCTGAGCAGTTGGGCACCCACATGTGTTTCCTGAGTGCCCACTGGTGGCCAGCCGGGTGCCTGGTCATGCTGTGGGGGAGCCTGGAAAAAGGGACCCCACAGTGCCTGCCCCTGGGGAGCTGGGTCTGACAGGAACCAGAGCTCCCTGTGAACAGCAGATAACAGGTACAGCAACAATAAGCACAGGAGACGAGAGGAGGCGGAGACGTGGGGACACAGTAATCAAGGGGGGTTTCCAGAAGAGGTGGAACGTGAGTATGGCCCCAGAAGATAGGGTAGACCAATCTGAAGGAGGAAGGGGCACGGGACCTCATTAAAAGTAGGAACAATCACTTTTAGACAAAGATAGAAACAAAAATGGTATGATTGCCTTCATTCCAGCGTGCGTGTGTGTGTGTGTGTGTGTGTGTGTGTGTGTGTGTGTGTGACACCGACCGGCCGTGTGAGAGTCGTTCGGTCGATGGTGTGT